TAGAAGTGTCTCGAGATCTGGAGCGGTCTCTGGCTGTTGTTCTGGAGGGTAGCAGCTGGCGTTGGCGGCGAGGCTGAGGACGGTGATTTCGAGGCGGGTGGACAATGTGTAGCTCTTCTGCGAGGAAGTCGGTGGTGTCCGGTGGGAAAGGCACTGAGGGATTGATGCGATAGCTGCCCTGGTGGCCCGGAGGGCCTGGTACAAACTGAAGCAGTTTGCTGGCGCGTTTGAGACGTAGAGTGATTCGGGTCAGCTCAGTGATACTTTCGTGGTATTGAAAGTAGAGTCGGAAGGCATCAGTGTCTGTGAACAAAGTATTGTCCGGTATGGGGCTGTTGATCGTGGGGTGATTGAGGAGCTGATTGACCACGTTGCCGAGGCAATCAAGAAGGCCGTGGAGGAGAGGAAGCTCTGGATTGTGTGTGAGTGACGGAGTCAAGTGTGGGGGAGGATTGTCCGGGAGGAAGTATGTCTCGGCCGCTGAAGATTGCTCCGTAGGAGACGACCACAAGGCTGAAGGGGATCCGAGGGCAGTTGAAGCCATGCTGAACGAAGGTCGTAGGAGGCTGATGGCAGTCAAAATGAAAACGGCTGCAAAAGGATACGTCGGAAATCAACATCCAAAGATCGCGAAAGCTCAAAACCGAGAAAGCTCAAAACCGAGAAGCAACTGTACAAAGTGGTGACGTGCAAGAAAAGTGAACTGAATTCAAAGTGCATAAAATTGCTGCAGTGCATGGACTTGTTTGCTGATGGCGCGCCGAAGAGAACTGGGTGAAACTGAAACTATACAAAATAGCTGCCGATGTCAGCCGCTGCGAGTTCCGGATGACTGTCCTCACTGGGGATTTCTGGTACGGCATCAGGTGCGACTGGGGCAGCCGGTGCAGGCGATGGAGGTGGTGTGGGTGTGTAGGAGAAGTCTGGGGCTGAAAGTGATGCCGGTGGTGGAAGGGCTGCTGCCGAGAGAAGCATCTGGGCCGGTGAGGCCGGTGGTGTGTTGGCAGGTGAAGTGGGTGTAGGTGACGGTGGTGGGGGGACTGCCTCGTGTTGGTGTGGGGGTGCTTGAAGTTCTTCCCAACGTGCTTTGCACTGCTCAATGGAAAAACCTACTCGACGGGCAACGTAGTTCCAGTTCGGGCGGAGACGAGTATCAGTTTTGAGCTCGACAAGGCGGGTATCTGCATCAGCGTCCCAAGCATCCCAATCCGCATCTTCGTTGAGGGGTGGTGGAGGCTGACGTTTGCGCTTGGGTTGTGGCTGTAGTGGTGATGAAGAAGAAGCCGAGGATGCTTGGGAAGGAGGAGGTTCCTGTGGTGCATGTTTGATGGGAGCAGCAGGCGCCGAGTCGCACGAAGAGGTGGGGGAGGGAATGGGGACGGCGTATGGACGAGATAAAAACTGTGCAAGTTGGACAGGATGTCTGTTGCTTGCTGGAGTAATCGATGAAGCTGACTGAGGGCAATAGTGGTTCGATGGAGAAGTCGAACCTGGTCTGCATGAGAATGCATCTGGAGAGGTCGTGTCAAGGTAGCGAAAGCAGTACACTGGAGCGTCGATTGGCGCAGCTGTGTCATCAACGCTGCATGTCGACAGGAAAATAACAGGCGGAACGTGCAAATGAATTACGAAAATGAATTATTGAGCATGAATTTTGCAGATTATGCATGAACGTGAATGGAATCGGAAAACTGCATCCGTGGAAAGTGGAGTCTCAAACGGAAAACTGCATCAGTGGGACGAAAAGAGCACATTCCTTACAAAAACGCTCAAAGCCTATGGTCTTAGATCTGAAAATTCTAGAAAAATCCAAGTGAGCATGAGAGATCCATCATGAAAGCTGAAAAATCAAGTTCGAAAAGAATCGAGAAAGAGTAATAACAGGTTGACGTTGTAAAGCTCTGAAAGTTGTCGTGCAGGTAAAACATCATAGCGCGGCTTTTTCACAAAGCCGGAGGTGGTGACGAGGTGAAACGTAGGGACAGGCTGCTCTCAGGCGTTGGGTTGTGGCGTGGAGGTGAAGGTGGAGATGGAGCTGGCAGTGTGTTGTGGGACCTCAAAGGTCTGGAGGAATGGCATTGATAGACCATGCCAAGCCCTTGACTATGGCATTATTTGGGTGAATCACCCAGCAGCGGGCTTTGGAATGGCAAACAGCACCATGATCTTGTTGCAAAAGATGCATGGCTTGGGCTTCACCTCCGCTGGTGAACTTAGTCCCACGGCCCCAAGCAAGGATGTGGACCATGATGGAATGGACGTTTTTTGCCATCTTCCATGTGTTGTGTAAAATGCGGGCTTGTTCGTAGTTGTCGTGAATGTGTTGGTGGGTAATGCGTGTGGCTTGGGCAAAGAAGCCTGGATTGTCTTCGAAGTGAAGGGTACTGGGGAGGAGACGACCCTGTTGTAAAATGGCAGCAGTGTTGCCATAAGGGCCAGTGTGACATGCGTTGATGTGAACTGTTTCAGGGGCCGTAGAAGTGGCCCGAGTGGCGGGTGGTGGCAGTGGACGAGTAGCTTTGTCGACGAGGCTCGGGAGGTTGATACAGTGATAGGAGAAAGTGTCGTAGGCATTGGTGGTGTCATTCCATTTCACATGGGTGAGTTGACGGAAATCTGCCAAATCATCGAACTCGAAGCCGTTGTCCGCAAGAAGTTTGGCAATGTAGAGATGTTGTGGTCTGTTCTCTGCGGCCAACTGAGCTGCATGGAAGTCTAGCCACCATGCTATCTGTTCTTGCAGTGACAGTTGTTGAAAATGTGGAGGAGGTGCCTTCCAAGGTGGGTGGGGGCGTCGTAGCGCCGGAAAGTTGGGGTATTCTGCTTGGGACATGTTGTGGAGCTGACTGTGAGATGTAGACTGTTGATTGGGCCGGAGAGTGATAGGTGGATGGGGATTGCTGGCTGAAGATGTGGTAGATGTAGTGGAGGGAGAGCGGCGACGTCGGCGGCGTGCCGAGGATGCCTTGGCGGTGGAAGTCGCAGGGGAACGTTGGCGTCTGTCGCGTGTGTGGCGACTGCGTTTGCGGCGACGCCTTTTGCTACGGCTTCGGCCACGATGGCTGCGGCCAGTGGTGGTAGGAGGAGGCGGTGCTGCTGTGAGAGGTCGTGAAGAGGGCGGCTTGGGAGGCGGTGCGGTTGGGTTTGTGGATGTTGCCGGAGGTGCTGGTGGTGGTGGCGGTGTTGGCTTGGCGGTGGCTGGTGGTGGAGTCGTGGAAGTGGTGGCAGTGGTAGTTGGTAGGGATGTCCCTGGAGTGGTAGCGACTGATGGTGGGACATCGGAAGCACCGGGAGGGGCGTTGGGAACGCCAGAAGGTAGTTGTGTAGGTGGTGGAGTAGCTGATGCAGTTGTGTTCGGATCTGGTGCGGAAGCTGGCGAACTGGTGGAAAGGCCGAGAAAGGTTGCCAAACACCTTGAGATTGGTCCCAATGGATGGGGACCTGTTGGATTGGCGGCTGTGTTGGTGATGCTGGAGGAACGGGTACAACGGATGGTGGTGCATGGGGTAAAGTGTGTGGAGGAGGTTGTGTTGGTAGGGTCTCGAATGCCGGCATCTGTGGAGCCGTTGGGTGGACCGGTGTGGGAGCCACGAAGGTTGGTATTGGTGGAGAATGGGTTGGCATGGGATGTGGCCACGCGTGTGGTGGCTGTTGCTGCGGAGTGGGCTGAAAATGAGGTAGAAGAGCCTGTTGTGGTGGATGAGAGACAACTGTAGGAACAGGTGCCGTTGGTGGAGGGTGGTGCCATGGCGGTGGTTGAGTGGTGATTGCGGGTATGGAGGGTGCGGTACAGGGCTGTGGCCAATGCGGATAAGGCCAAGGGTACTGCATGTGGAGAGGGCCGTCCAAGTGGCTGCGAGAAAATGGCGCCGGCGCGGCACAGCAGCTGAAACAGTAAGTTTGAAGATGGCAGTGAAATCGGAAAATCCGTATGCGTGCAGTGGAGGATTAAAGACTTGAAAAATGAAAAATTGAAAACCGGAAAAAAGGGCATGCATTGTAATCTCCGAACTGTGAGCATGCATGCATTGATCGTCGGTCAAATGGCTGCGGGTGGGAGATTAAATTGAAGTTGGAGAAAACGTCGCAATGTACAACACAACGAATGTCGGAGCGTTGAGTGGATAATTCCTCGCTTATAGCCCGGCGGCTCGAAAATCAGGGAATTCAGGGATAAAATGGAAAACGGGGAATCAGTCATAAAAGTGGAGAACAGTGAAATCCAGAGTGGCTTCGGCGCCTCCTTTCGGAGGGTCACACCCAGTACCCACGTGGGAAGACTGAGCGAGTCACACTTCGAACTTGGGTTTTCAGTGAACGCAATTGCCACGTTGGGAAGGAAGGCGATAGAACAGCATGGCGAAAAGTCCGATAACTTGGAGGTGTTTGAACATCGATTGTTTCACTTGACTCGGCTGCATACCGGCGGTGGTGAACTAACGGCTTAACTTAGCTGCAAAACCGAGGTTTGGGGGTGGAAACATGAAGGACCATGAATCAAAAAGTGGAAGAGTAGGGTGACAGCGTGTGAAAGAACGAGCAGGTACACGGAAGTGATCAGCTTCCGCTTCCTAGGATCTTGCAAAGAGCTTCGTTGGGCAGAGCCTTGCAAGTCCTCTCTGCCCCCCTGCTTGTTGCAAAAGAAAAACGGTCTCAGTGGTGGTGGAAAGGTGAAAAGGTGGAAAGCCCTTAGAACCAGGGTGTGACACACACACACACACATAGACATACATATACAAAACTGGGAAGTTTATGCTTGATGGAGGACCAATAATACTCTGGTTTGTTTTTGCTCGAACAAGACCCTACTTTGGGGTAAAGTTAGATCTATGAGTTCCTTCCTTCAAATGATCTTGGTCCGACTTGGTCCGTAGCGTCAGAGTAGATGGCGAAAAGAGCCATGGATCATTGGATGGTGATCCCCGCTAACCACCCAACAAGGGTGTTTGTTGCATTAGGAAGCACCCCCGAGCAGACTGTGTGTGGGGAACCTCCACCAGGCTTTGCGCATGCGAGCTGGACATGGATTCCGCGCTGGTGTCTTGGCCAGCAGCAACCTACTATGGCAACTCCACGAAGAAGAAACACGATATAATCCACTGATCGAGCAACTGAAGTCCTTGCCACAATTCAGGGTGTTGACGCAAGACTCCAAGATGACCCAAGAACTTTTCAGTGATCTATTTCATGAACGATTCCAGATGATTCATTGATTCCTTGGAGCCGAGTTGAATCTCACCACTAAGGTTGTTGCTTGCACCAAGCCTGCGCGCATGAGTGGGACATGACATCATTCCTCATTCGTTTCCATCGATTCCTCCAATTCTGCAAGCCGATCAAACAAGAGGGACCGATCAAAGACCTAATGACTCTCGAAGAGCACCACTCCACTCCCACTCCTCGCCCTCTTTCGACACACGACGGGTCGACGCAGGTCGCGTGCGCGCCTCTGGTGGTGGGCCCGGTGGCCTTAGCGACTGGCGGGACGGGTCCCAGGAGGGCGATCTGCTTCGATCACGTCAGGTGGCACTTCCGGTGGCCTTCCTTCGCACGTTGAGAGGTGTGGGCTCGATGAACAGCATCAACTCGGAGCCTTCTGGTGAGTTTCTACAGGATCGATTAAACAAAGAAAAACACATCAAACACATATATTTGGGTGACAGCTAATCAACTAGAATCCTCCTTCTCCTCCTCTGCTTGTAGATACGAAACACTATATAGTTTTTGTTTGTCCATACACCCACACAAAATCAGCCTCCAGAAAGAGGTTGGTTTGTGAACCAGACCAGTGACTTGTTCGTTGCGGGTGGAATCTATGCCCAAACTCCTGGTGCAAAGTTTGCCCAAAAACGAACACATCACTTAGACAAACTCATGTTGTCCGATGGATGCGTTGGTCGGTGCCCCCGAAAGAAAACGCCACACCACGACCATCGTGGCAACCCCCCCATCCTTCCGGATGCCCGACGGACGAGTTGAGGCCTTCCCGGCTTGGATCTTCTCGACCTGCGTGGGAATGCCAGGCCGCCTGTGCCGCAAGTGGTGGCCGTGTGTGCCCGAGAGAAGCTGCCAAGTTCGGACGGCCTAATTCTATGCAATTCTAGGTTGCTTTCTCCACATTTTGGGGGTGTAGTGAGTCGCGGCAGTGAGTGCTGAGTGGCAGAAGTGGAGGTGGATCTCTGTCGCATAGGACTCCCGCCCAGATCTCCCATGATTGGTTTCACCCGGAAGCACCAGGCAGGACACTCTATGTGAGCCTGTGATGGGGGTCTAGCCAAATATCTTGATTTTCATAGCCCGATCTTGGATGTTCTGGATGATTGCGCAGATGCTGACTGCATCTAGTTGCACCTGCCAAACCAGAATAAGATGGAGAACCTGCTCTACGATCTTCAGGTTTGGTGTGTCTGTCTTGGCACACTCCCCATAGCTCAACCTGGCTGGGTCCAAATCCTGGAAACAAAGAAAGACCAACCAGTACCCAGGCCAGGCCCATTGATGTCTTGAACCCACCGGTCTTCTCTGCGGCCGCTTTCACGAAGGCCTTCCGAGGATGCCTGCCTCAGCTTCATAGCGACCGCCAGGCAGGAGTTCGCCCGAGGCGGGACCAAAACCGCAAGACGACCACCGCAAGCAGGCTTTTTTGCATGAATTAGGGCTTTTCCAGTTGTGCGGTTGGTTGAGGTTTTTATTATACATCATGCCATCATGCACTTATTTTTTAAAGTTTGGCATTCTAAGAGGTGTCTTGGAGGTGTGGGCGTCACAGCCAGGCTTAGAGGTACCTTACTCGTCGGTAGGCACCTTCTCGCCGTGGCCCTCGGGAGCACCGCCCGCGAGCCTGGGGCCCCATGGAACGTGGCGGGGGCCCTGTGGTGAGTGCCCCCGGTCCAGTGCGCATCTGTGGCTTTTAGGCTACTTTTTGAAAAGGCCAAGGCCACACAGGATTCAGTAACATGACATAATCATTGATTTACTGGGAACCGGGAAACTATAGAAGGAGGGGCAAGCCACCTCTCGTTGGAATGAGGGGCAAGCCACCTCTTGTTGGAATGAGGGGCAAGCCACCTCTCGTTGGAATGAGGGGCAAGCCACCTCTAGTTAGTTTATGGCAATATCGATCAGTAACTTTAATACAACCATAGGGAATCAAGAAAGTTACTACTTGGGAAATACAGTATTGGTATGGCCCAGGCAATACAAATCCTCAGACAACAACACACTGTAATACCCAAACTCTTGTTTTCATACAGGAAAAAAAGGACAATTCTCGCGATAAAAAGGACGATTCTCGCGAACAAACATTTGTACCAAGGACTACGGTATGTAAAACGTTAAGAAGGCATGTGTGGGCTGCCTTAGAGGAGAATTTGGTATAGGAGTTATGGATAGGTATGAAACGGTTTATGTACAGTTGTTTTCTATTTAGATCTATTGAGGCACGGCTGCTCAGAGGTTATTGCCGACCTTATTGGAAGAAAATCCCTTCCAAACCTAGGTCATAGGTCTTTATATTCGTATCAGGGAGTACAGCAGCATTTCCTGAGCGAGCTGGTAATCCATTGCTATAGCCTAAAGCATAGGCGAAAAACAAGCGCATAGGCGTCCATGATGTGATTGCGTAATTTTTTGGCCAGCTTCAGATCAAGCTGAGCTTCATGTTCCTTTTCCAAAACCATACTTTATTTCAGGCTCCTTCCAAAGACACCTTCCTCTTCACCTCCATTTGGTCCCGAAAAAACTATGGATGCGACCGAGTCAGACTTCTTATGGATCTCAAAGACAAACATCTGACCGGTTCATAGGGCGTGCCAGACACGTCCAGATGCATCCCCGATGCGCGGGCAGGTGCGTCCAGAGGCGTCGATGGTGACGGTACACGTTCCATGGAACTGGTTTGCATTCCGGAAGGACGCCTTTCCTTGACGAAGCTTCTCCTTTTGCTCCACGTCCATGTCGGGTGTTGTGTATTTCAAGGCCGGAAGGACGTGCCACGCAAACGGCATCGGCGTGTCGGTTCGGACCGCCGAGCGCCACGCCGAAAAACGGCGAGAACCAGCCTTTTGTGATGTGTTCGTCGTGCCAAAACGCACCATCACAAGCCCAGCATCCCAGGCCTGGAGCTGGAGTGCGAGGCCAGATGCGACCGATGGTGCCACCGAACTAGTGTGGACCGAGTTCTGTCCATCGGTTTGGAGTTTTTTCACATCAGACCGTCAGACCCTTTGTGATCTCGAATTCCAGGTTCCTTTTCGGTGGCACAAGTTGGGATGCGGCTTGTACACAGCTTCCCATTGCTTCATGACTTGCGGGCCCAACAAAAGAACGATTCATCTCTCAAAACCGATCCATCTTTGAGAAAGCTAGTATCTTGCCAAGACTAGCCAAAGCTTTTGAGACTCTCAAAGCTGGTCCACCTCTTGGTACATCTCACCCGACTTTCACCATGACCACAGACAGGGAAGTGTGACCGGACTCTCCGACCAAAACGTGTTCCTTTCCCATCCCGACCACGACCCGACCTAGTTCTGCGCCCCACGACCGGAAGCGTCGCCTCCGACGAGTCGCAGGTGGGACAGCTACCGGAGAAGCTGGGGCGTTTCCAGCTCCGGTGCCCGGAGCTGAAGGAGTTTGGATGGAATGCAGCTAGGGAGGCACCAATTAAAACGGGGAAGTTGAGGCAGGATGGATGCGAATGGAGCGAGACCGCAGAACGAGAAGTGAGCGGGTCAGAGCCAGACCAAGCAATTTGGTTCATTTTGCCATTTGGCATTTTGTACCAGCTCCGCTGTACCCCGGTTTCACATTGGGTTTATTTGCAGGGCGGAGTGCACATCATAATATCATATGTGGCCACTTGATGGGAAGACTTTGGTTGAGCCCCCCCAAGCCCATGTCTCGTGGTCTCACCTGTTCATTTTTCAGTGGTCCATCTTCGGGTCCCTCCCACCACGGCAGAGAACCTCCCTCGGTTGCACAAGCTGAACCAATCGGCCCGCAGCGGTGCTGGGAGGGATCAGAACCGGTCGGAACCACGGGTCGGACGGTCTTCGACCGGTCTCCGACCCGATGTGGCCACCGTCGAACCTGGTGGATCTCGGGCGGGATTGGTCGCTCCTTGGGGCTCATTGCAGCCCATCAACCTACTGGGGATGGGCCTAGTAGCAATGGCCTCCTACCTAGGAGCGATGGCCTCCTACCTAATAGCGGAATAGGGATGGCCTCCAACCTAATAGCTGGACTGCATCCCTGGTTGGAGATGACACCTTTGGTTGGCCAAGAAGGGTGACCATTCTTTGGGCACTTGGGTCACCGGAGATTTCGTCAATGAGTCAAAATGATTTTCTACGACCAGGCGTTTGGTCTACGTGTGCTTTTCTTGTCATCATTCTGTTGTCTTTGACCTTGTCAAGGTAGATCATGTCAGACTTGATCCACAAGAAGTTCCCATTTTGTAGCAGTGGATGGTCCTTAGATCTGCCACAGAATGGAATGTTTTCAGCTTTCACCAATTAATTGGATGCTTTTTTGCCCGGCCCTGCCTTCAGGTGCCATGGGGACAATGGTGTTGGATGAAAAAGCGGCGAAAGAAGGTGTTGTCGGCCATGAGTGAATGGGAATGGACAGGTACAGGGAGTGAGAGACTTATAGCCTTCAATACTGGCAAACTGGGGGATACACCACTGTTTGTTTTTGTTTTCCTCCAGGGTGGTTTCAACTTCAAAAGAACTGATGCACCATCTATAAGGGGTGGAGTTTGTTCTTTCAGGAAAAGGATTGCACATCTCGAAGCATTTCGCCTTTAAGTTCTGAACGGTTTAGATGAAGTTGGAACTTTCCACAAGACCAAAAGAAGACCGTGACCATTTGGCGAGCACCAACAGTCTATGGATGCCATGTTTATGAACACCATTAGCTTCCAGGTAGCCCGAAGTGCCATGGTGTATATAGTTCCCTGGAAGTATGAGATTTGCACATGCCTGTGCATGCTTACCCATGTTTACAAATGTTTATACATGCAACTCTGCACTGCCCACTCATGGTTGTTGCTTTGTTGCCATGCTGTCATATGCTTTTGCAACCCCCTCTTTAATGTGAACATTCTCGCGATGGTCCCTTTCTAGTGGTTTTCTCACAGGCAGTATTGCCCAGATTTCTAGATTTGTCAAGTAACGACAGGACTCCGGAACCAATAGATTTAGTCAGGCCTGTCCTGAACAATGTTGTTTTAAATGCACTGGGGTAAACGAGCGTGTATCCCTGTATCCCACTTTGACATGGCCCATCACAGCCCCATTTTGACATCTAGAACTGCAATGGGATTTGTTCGGCAAGTGTGTAGGGATGTGATGCGACAAATGGGCCGGAAGTCGTTCTGTAGAACGCTGAACGTCGGACGTCGTTGTTATTGTGGAAACCGAACCTCTCAAACGCAAAGAGAATGTAGAATGCCTGTGTAGGCAACCTTACAAGCACACGCCTAGTAATTCTATAGAGCTCACATGTCTGTGTGTGGACACCATGCAAACTGACAGCACATGTCTGCGCCAACGGGTCCCAACGCTTTCTGCCATGGGTGCTGCACCCATTCGCCGCCCGCATTCTTCTACGGCTTCGTCAAAGCATAGGAATGAGAATGAGAAGTGCCGTGGTGGTGAATCCGCCCTTCCGTCTTCACCAACTGAGTCTTTTCATCGGAGGCAGACCGGTAAGGTCTCCCTGAAGTCATCATGGAAGATCGTGGGATGGCGTGGCCCAGAAAACGAGAACGATCAAAACAGGTGATGATTTTGCACTTCCATGATGATTTCAAGGAGTATAGGTCCCAGGTACAAGGATGATACTTGCAGATATACCTCCTTGGTGAACGCCGTTAGGGTGATCCGACCGCTGTAGGGTCTCCATTTTTCTACTGCGCTGATGCAGTCGGTGGTATACCTCAAGGGTGGTAGTTCAATGATTCCAACAGTTCCAAAGACCATCCGTACCACTTTGACAAGGGAACCTCGTTCTTGGTCGGTGAACGGCATTTTTTGGGTGACAAGGGGATGAGGCGGTGAAGGACATGACACCTGGGTTGGTGGGCAACGGACATGGGCGCACCGTTGCCCGCCCTGGATCCGACTCATGTGCGATCTTGGAGTCCCAGACCTAGTGTTTCCACCACGCCAAGACTTGGAGAGACACGCTGAACATTCTGAGACACATACTGCCATAGATGACATGCCTTGCGCGAGTGCCGCGGCTGGCGAGCACGAATTCTGCGCGTGTGGTCCCTGCTGGCGTGCCTCCCTGGACACCAGTGGTGGCATGGGAAGGGCCGTTTCAGGAGCATTTGGAGGCGCGATGGGATAGGGTGTTGGTGGGGATCACCGATATGATATGTTTGTGGTGAACAAGAGATAATTTGCTTACATGAGTTACGCTCCAGGCCTGACCTTTTGGAAGACTTTTTCAACTCGATGATGGCTGGGGTCAGGATAAGCTGCAACTTTTCCAGACACTGCAGGCGGTGTGGCCAGCGAATTTTGTGGCGTTTCTTGACAGAAGAACGTGAAAAGCGTAAAAGGGATGCGTGCTGTGCTGAAGCTCAAAGATGACTGATATATTCAATCATTTAAGGTAGGCAGGGTCGGTGATGATGAATTATTTGGGAAGCTTCGAATCAACGTCTCCCAATGTTTGAATGCTCAAGCCAAACTGGGGAGACGCCCCTTGAGGAGCAGTGTCGCTGCTGGTACCTCAAGCTAAACTTTTTCTTCCCGGTTCTGACGCCATGGCAAGCGCCGACGATCAGATCCGCCGCTCTGCTGAACAGCAGAAGCTGGAGCGGTGGTGCGCTGCCCATGGTATCGAAAGGCCCTCCGACTTAGCGTTTTACTTCGTTACCTACGAGGAAGCGCTGAAGCAGGGCCGCGCAGTGGCGGAGGCCTGGGACCAGGCGCGCCGTGAAGCGGAGCTGGGCGCTGGCGCCCTGGTGCGAGACATCGTTCGTCGTGAACAAGTTTCGCAATCAGCGCCGCGGCCTACCACATCGCCACCTTTGAGGCCACGACCTACCCCATCGTTTGCGGGGCCAGTCAGGCCCAGCGCCCAGGGCCGTCAGTCGGGCGGCCCGGATGGCGGTGCCTTGAGCTTTGTGCCTCAGTTGATGGCCATTCTTCTGGCAGTTGAGCCCCCGCCGGCGGCTCGCTTGGCTGAGATCACCGCCAACTTCGAGGCCAAGCTCACACATGTGCTCCAGAAGGCGGAGGCCGCCACCGTGAAGCGAGCATTGCACACGTGGCAAGAGCTTCAAGGGGTCATTGCCGCCGCAGGTGGAGGTATCCCAGACAAACACCTCCTGGCCACCTTCATTCGGGAGCACAAGTCCCCTACCAGGGCATATACCGCTCTAGGCTGGATCGTCCGCAACCTCAAGTTGCCATTTGACCTCTCCGAAGTGGTGAAACCTCGGGCTGGTTTGGGATCTCGCCTCGGTCAGGGGCAGGCGCAGGCGGCGACTTTGGAGCCATCTATGGTCATCCACCTGTTGGGCACCTTGGAATCCACCGTTGACAATCCTCACTGGCCTATGGTGTTTTGTGCCTACGCCCTCTGTTTTGGTGTGGTCAGGTACACCCATTTGCAACGGAGCTACTTGGTCGGCGGGAACGGGGGCATCCTTGTGTTCTGGTGCACGAAAGGTAAGACTGGCAGTCGTGGTGGCTTCGCCTGGAGCGTTCCGAGGTATTGTGGCACGTTGGACCTTCTACAAGTGCTAGGTGCCCATTTGAACAAAGTGCGCCCCAGAACAGGCGCTGGCTTCAAGCGCTGGCATTGGTTGGGGTTCGACTCGGCTACAGCCCAGCCGGTGGGCACAGCACAATGTGTCCGGATCCTGCAGCCCTACCTGAGTGCAGCCATGGACGTTACCAGCCTCTCGTCCTACTCGTTCCGCCGCGTGCTTCCGACTTTGGCAGGGTATGTGGGGCTATCCGAGACAGAGCGTCTTGCTCTTGGACAATGGGTGGATCAGTCCTCCAAGTCTACGGCTACCACCCCTTTGCGATATGACTCGCGGAAACAACGCCTAGGACACCAGTTGCGCCTGGCTGGCTTGCACTTCTTCCAGGACCTCAACATGGCGATGTGGGACGAACTGCCGACTGGCTATGCCTCGGCCCGATGGTCCACTTGCATGGAAGAGGCTGACGAGCTCCTCGCTTCGGACCCTCAGATCCGCCGAGTTTCTACGGACTCCATCCCTGGCATGCCCGTGGTCAAGACCTTGCTGCCGGCCCAGGTCCAGATCATCCGCGCTACTGGTCAACGACTCACTGCTGCGCTCCGGCGGAAGCGCCCGGCCCCCGCCGTGGCTGCCGGCCCGGTGCCTGAGCCCGCACAGGGGCCGAGGAACACGGTGTCCACCTTTTCGTTCACCAGTCCCTCGCGGCCGGCGAAGCGGGCACGGGTGGAGTCGCCACCCAGGGCTGCTGCTGGCGGTAGTGCCCAACCGGTGACGCCGCCCAAAGCACCTCCGCCGAAGGTGCCATCTATGCGGCCTGTGGTCTCGCCCTCATCAGCTTCGGCATCTACTCCATCTTTGCGGGCACCACCACCTTTGCCATCGGCTTCACCTCGGGCATCTTCGTCTTCAACCACGGCAGTTCCTTCGAGCACGCCACCTTCGACCCCCCAAAGTCAAGGCCATGCCCTCAGTGCTTCAACCGTCGCTGGAGCGGCCCCAGCACTTGCAGGAAGCGAATGATGCGGCCTTCGATGCAGCGGCCCGGGAACGCTGGCGCCGGCCCGGGCACAGCGGTGCCCCAGAGCCTCCCACGCTCATCTTCCTGGGCGAAGCAGGCAATGGTTCTATCTACTTGGGCGGTCCGCCCACGGACCGGGCATGGTTGGAGGCCCACCGCATCGGCATGAGTCTCAGCGCCATGGACAAGATTGCCGCCGACTGTCGGGGAGGGGTCAGTGCTCGCCAGGTCTACCAAGTCAATGTTCCTGTTGGTCATCAAGGAGCCCTACGTGACCGCCAGTTGAAGTTGGTGCTGCCTATCTTTCTGGCAACCCTGTACTCAGGCTACTCCGTTCTGGTTCATTGCATGGCGGGGGTGCACAGGGCCCCTGTGTTGGCTGGTTTGCTACTTGCATGGATCCGGCGGTGCTCCTTCGAGGAAGCATACTCGCGCCTGGAGGGCTTGCGAGCTATCGACCGAGCCGGCGTGCTCAGCCGGCGGGGCGGCTCTGATATCTTCAAATGGGCCCGGAATCAGGTCCACATCACCCCACCGGCCCTTCCCAGGTATCCGGTTTCCTTCATTACCTCTACCAAGGCGGGATCAAACTGGCATGTGGAGCGTGACAACGCGCCCTGGTGCAGATGGCGCCAGCGCAATGCTGCTTATCGAGGTGAAGTCCACCGAGCTCGCAGCATTCATGAGGCCTTGGCCTACGGGCGTGATTTCTGTATCACATGTAAAGCAGTGCTCCCTGGCAATGCCCAGGTCCACTTGTAGTAATAACTGCAGTCTTTGGAAACAGCACGCCTACCGGGTAGGCCGAGAGGGCGTCTCGTGTGCTATGCAAGTTTTTGCTCATAGGGACTCGGCGGACGGCCCGAGGAGTAGGTCCCT